CAGTGTTCTTGAAAAGGGAAAGAGGCCAATATCCTCTGAATACAGTACTTCATCAAGTAGCGATGAAGTTCAGAAATTGGGCACACCTCCAAGGGATACTCGGGTGGTCTTTAGACCTCTTCAAGGAATGTTTGTTAAGCATTTAGTGGTAAGAACCTTAAAAGGAAAGAGGGACGATAACTAATCTGTTTAGAGACAAAAGTATGGTGAATGATTTCAATAAACTTTGGAAGGACAAGAGTGTTGTTTATGGTAAGATAGCTGATTTGAAAGGTATAAAAAATGTTGGGTGGAACTTGGATTGCTTCATTAAAATGCAAGGATGGATGGACTTCCTTAATTTTCAAGGATTTGTATATCCTAGGTTGGTTAGAGGATTTTATGCAGGGGCTGAAGTAGATGAAGAAACTTGTATAATCTTGGTGAATTTGAAAGGACATGATATACTCCTTACTATGGAATATCTAGGAGAGATTCTAGGTCTACCTAATGATGGGTTGGAACTATGGTCCAATTGGTATGAGACAAGCTTCTAAAAAGAAAGTTATTAAGAAGTTGCTTGAAAAAGGGAGAGAAAAAACTGAAGTCCTCTAACTTGAAATCCTTTGGAAGGATTATAATAATATGTGTTTGCATTTGCTACTCCCTAGGGCAAGGACTTTTCAAGAAGTAACTGATCAGGATCTTCTGATCATTTACTGCATGTGGAAGCAAATAATGATATGTCTTCCTTACATGATTTTGCAACACATGATCAAAGCTATTGGACCATCCAAGGTAACTACATTTGTACCATATGGGATGATTTTGACTAGAATCTTTGAGCACTTCAAGATGCCTTTGAGTTATGAAAGTGTTGATTCTTTGATTCTTGATTGGAATGCTCAAAATTTGCTAAAGATGAGATTGAAGCCTCACCCTAAAATGTCCAAATAATGAAAATGGTCAGACGATGGAGATGATGACTAGAAGAAAGAGAATGATAAGAAGAGAAAGAAAAAGGATGATGTGCCTACTTCATATGTCCTTGCTTCCTCCTCTCTAGAGCTTTCTAAGAGGATAACAAACTAGTTGAAAATGGGAAAAAGATTTAAGCTTAAGGCTGGGAAGAACTATGTTCCTTCCCAAGTGTCTATTTCTACTTGTTTGTGTATTGGAAATCCAACAGGTGTTGGTGGTTGTATTTAAAGTAGTTGTTCTTGATTATAGTAGAGAAATTCATAGTGTGTGTGGGGACTAGATGTAACCCAAGTTTGGGTGAACCAAGATAAATCACAATGTGAAATCTCTCTTATCCTTATTCTTATATATGTTTAAATTACTTTAAGTTGCTCATATTTATTGGTACATGATTATGGCATATCATACTACGTTTATAAACAAATAGAAAGCATTTTCAAATACCTCAAAAGCACAAACTTCTAAGAAGCTATTTTATAGAGAAATTGCTTGGAAGAAAAATTAATTTTTTAAATCTTCAAAAGCATTAACTTTTGAACATCAATTTGATAAAAAGAAATTCAAATTTTAAGATAACCGTAATTCAATCTCCTTTCTTATTGGCTAACATTTATTTCAAGATTTTCTATTTCTTGATTTTGTATGAATATGAATATAAAACATTTAAATATAGTGAAAATGTAAAAAAAATATTAATAATTTTTATATTGTAAAATTATTTATTTAATTATATTTTTAATTATATATATATATATATAAGAAGGTTGAAATGACACCAATGTAACTTTTACTAAGTATTACACTGCTCAATAATTTTATATTAAATGTGAATTTTATAAATCTAACTGTTAGATTGAAAGTTCCTTACTCTTAAATCATATATACAAAATTTTATTTTAATTCAAGATGATTTGATACTTTATTCTTATAAAACAAAATTGACGTAATATATACATTTAAAAATATAATAAAATATTAACATTTTGATTACCTTCAAGTTGTTGTTTAATTTTAACAAAATTTGATATAAACATATAAAATGATATAAAGTTATAATTTAACGATTGGATTTACCAAATTCACATTTAATATAAAATTATTGAGTGGTATAATACTTAGTAAATATATATATATATATTTATTATATCATATAAATAAATATATTTGTCTATCAAACATAATAAACTTTTTTTTATATAAATTTAAGCTCAATTTTTAAACAATATTTTTTCAAAAATTTAAATATGATATTTTTATTAAATAGGTCAAATTTTAAATAAATTGAGTTATAGTATTTTTTCTAAAATCTAACCTACTTCCAGTCATAATTATTCTTTAATATAAAATAATTATCTTAACTATAACCCTTAAAAATCAATTATTTCTTAATTTTTATGTGAATTCAATCCAAATGAACCTTAAAGTTCACGTGTTGGAGAAAAGAATGGCCAATGCTATTCAAAAACAAATTTTATACTTTAATAATATTAGTCTTTTGACAATATTTTTTTAATTTAATAAATTTATTTTAAAAATATATATTATATAAGAGCATTTTAATTGAAACGACGTCGCTGATGTAAACACTTGAGACGGGGTCGTTTTAGCAGCATCGTTGAAAGGGGTTATTCGCTCGGAGGCTGGAAAAGAGAGACAGAGAGAGAAGAAAGTTGGGGAAAGAAAAAATGGGGTATGTGCTGAGAGTGAGATTGGCATCGTTTTTCACAGGTGCTGCAACGGCGTCGTTTTTGGGTCTCTACATCCTCCACCGGGATTACAAGGTTGCGCACCAATCCTTTACTCAACAGGTACACGCGAATATCCACATAACTTATTATTATTATTTTGATAATTTTAAATATTCTTCTCAAAGATTTATGTTTTTGTTCCCTAATCATGTCTTTTGCGAGAACTGTTAATTGAAAGAATTTAGGGGTAATTAGATTAGCTTTTTGGAATTTTGGTTAGAAAGAGGGTTAAAGCTGAATTGATTATGATGATTGTTGAAATTGATAGATTAGATTAGAAATGCCACAATATATGTAAGATGTTGCAATTGGTTAGGGCTTTTATTTGGATATCTTCCCGTGTTTTTGCTATGTTACTGTCTTCAGCAGTGGTTATATTATGGCAATGCTGTGTTGTGGCTGATTTTGAAAGCTATTCTGCTGATCTAGAGGGAAGGTGTCCCTTTAGTTCTTATAATTTAGATGTGTGGGTGTGCTCTTTTGATTGATGGAGTGAGGACTGTGCAGAGGTAGATTGACTGCCTTACTTCCTGACCCTGCTTTTGAATTTTTGTTAATGGATCGTTTGGTCGAATTGAGAGGAGAAAAGGGAAAATAAAATCCTTCATTGTTGGTTAGAGGGGCAAAACATGAAACGGAGGGATTTTAGCCTCATTGTTTTCTCCCTCCTCTCCCTTCATAACTTCTGAACCATACAAGGGATTTTTATCAAATCACTCCCCTCCTACCAATTAGTATGTTAATGTTGTGAATGAGTTGGAAGAGTCATTGGGCCTATTTGAGTAAACTTCTCCATAACATTTTTAGGAGAGAAAAATAAGAAGGAAAAATGAAGTAAACTTTTTCATATATTAAAATTAACTTCTGCATAAGCTAATTTATAGAAACTCTCTCCAATTAGTTTTTTCAAAATCTTATTTTTAAATCATGCATAAGCTAGCTGTGTCTGGAGTTTGGATAATGGAGAGGTAGTCACGGACTCATGGTATTCTGATAGTTGATAGAATTCTTATGTTTTCCTGTTTAATATAATCAACTCATACTTGTGATATCTACATATATTTATTTATTTTGAGCTTGCTTTTAATTAGTTTAGTGAATAAATTTAACACTGCTCTTGCTGTTGGCTGTACAAGTATTTTCCTCCCTGCCTTGGCCTGTTTCTCCCTTGCCTTTTTTAAAATATTATTATGGTCATATAAAATTCTTTCACTCACGTTGCTTCATAGTTCTGTAAACAAATATTTCTCCTTGTTTTGCTATCCAAAAGACCTACTCATGTTCTCTAGCACATTCCCCTTCATTTGGACCCAGCATTTTCCCGTCTTACCTTCTTGGCTATATGCAAACTGGTCTTATCAATAGTGACTTAGTCTTGTTTGTTGGAGAAATGGAATGAGCAAAATTTTCTTGTGTTGCTTGTAAGGGACTTTAAAATTAAATAGAGGATGAATCTAATTAAATAATCCATATATTGTTTTCTTATATTTTTGGGTTATGACTTATGAGTGTCAAATGCAATGCTCTTGTTGTATTCAATATAGTTTTGAAGGCCTGTGGAACTTTTGTTTGAATGAGGGGGATGCAATGGGAGTTGCAGACTAGCATCATGATTTATTATTGTTGTCTCCAAATGAATGTCTGCTCTCTCTCATGGTGTAAAATTTATGTTCATTGTCAATTAAGAAAATAATTTTGGTTTTCTTTACTAATTGTTCATATTGGGTGTGAAATATGTTTTTGCTGCCAATTTTTTTGGGGTTTCACTTTGAATCTCTAATCCAAATTACATTTACTCATCGACGGAGCCATATTGTTCAATGCTTTTTTGGAGAGGTGGTGCATTTATCACTTCCTCCATCCAAATTGCTTCTCCATTTGATGAATGAACTTCCATTTCTTTTCCAGATGAATGATCTGCACCAATCACTAGAAAGTCGAATTTCTTCCTTGGAAAAACTGAAACAAACGGAAACTTCAGAACAGGTTGAAGCAACAGAATAAGAGTTTGGACTGAGGTATCCATTGTGGAAAAAATTGATTCTATGTACTCACTATGAAAAGTTACTTTTAGTTGTTTGTTTCCTAAGGAATAAGTTTAAATTGACTCATTTTATGGCACTCCATCTGACTTAACTTTTTCATCTGAAGTGTACGGATCAGTTGTGTCACAGAATGTAGTTTGGATTATTTTTGGCTAAGAGCATTTACCTTTCACCGCGGTTATGCGTGGTAAGTAATGGATATTTGGGTTCCTTTTTAAATATGAAAATTGTATGTTCTTTATTATTTCTATTGAAGGCACATGGCTTAAAAATTAAAAAAAAATATGTTTCTTTACAGCAGAATATTTAGTTTAAGAGTTTAATTTCCATGTAGCGAAATTATTTTACATCATCAACTAATTAGAAATTACCCATTGTATAATAACAGTTTTATCTTATAAATGGATGACACTGTAAATAATCATTGCATTGATGAAGTATTTTAATTAAATTATAGTATTTAAATATGCTTATGGAACATATAATTATCATTTTTTTAGGATTTTATAAAAAAATAATTCATTTTTAGTTTTGCATATAACAAAAATGAAGTGGTATGATTTTTGTAATCTTTAAGCATTAAAAACGTAAATTTTTTTTTTATAAGGACTGAATATATGAAGTTATGGTGGATTGATTTAAATCATTAAAGTATTAATTAAATTGTCCCTTAGATTTTTGTTTTTTGAAAAAAAGATGGGTTTAATTGTTATCCATCATTTTAATTATATGATCATTCAATTTTATTTTAGGTTTTTTGTTTGAACAATTAGATATATTGGATTGAATTTTACATGCATGGATCGGATGAATTATAAATAAACGAGTTATTTTGCCATACATACCAACTACTTATATTCCCACAAAACCCGTTCTCTCTTAAAAAAAAAAAAAAAAAGTTCTTTCATTTCATTGATTTGTCATTTTAGAATAATTTTTTCTTTAATTCGTAAGAATTATAATGATAGTAATAGGGTTAAAATTAAAACTTTGCGTATGCCATTCGATTGTCAGTATTGCTCTTTTTAAAATATAGTTATATCCTTTTCATCCAAATTTCATTAAATCATAAGCATTTGAATACAACAAATTCTCATGTTTGCTTCCCTTCTCTCACCCACAAAATGAATGAGGAAAAAAAAAAAGAACTTCACCTTAGATTTAGCAAATGTTGGGACCTGGCGTCATCTTTGATCACAAATCCAACCATGACCATGGTCCGGTTATATAACTCACACATGAAGAAAAAAAAAATTATAATCAAGCACAACCATCAAGAAGACCAAAACCATGCAAAATGAAAATTACGTTTGCAACAACTATACTCTTAAAGCTCTACCAGGCCTTGGCTAAGGTTAACATCTTAACCATCTGGCTCAAGCTCAAGTTCAGAATGCAGCAGTATTGAACTCACCAACAAGTACCAGTATTCAGCATCTATACTACCCAAATAGTATTTCCAAAACGTGTAGAATAATGCCAATCTGACATGTTCCTAATTATACAACTTTTAGAGGTTGATATGGTAATGCTCATGTTCCCAACTCATCAATGCAAATGGATCATATCTCTAATTTGACCTTCACAAATTTAAAATAGAATAATGCATACAAAGTATAAAAAAAAAATATTAAATATTTTTTTTAAAAGTATCATGTAATTCAAATGGAAAAGTATATATACCAGAGAATGCCCAAATGATCAAGTCGGTCGTGTCGGCCGGCCGACGTATGATCGACCCCCTCGATCTGGTCGACCAATGATGATGAAAATGCCTAGTAGAAGTGGTTGATATCTTCATCCAAGGTCCATCTCACGTCCAATCTAGCCTTGAGGTTGAAAGATCTTCACGGAAGCAATGGAGGTTCAAGCTTTTAATGCTTGAAGAAACAACCATGGAGGTTCGGTTTCTCCTTTGGAGGAGAAGAAGAAGTGAAGCACCAAGACACAAAGGAAGGAATCCTTTGTGAAGGAACTTAAGGAGAAGGTGTTCTTCTTGGTTTTGTGACTCTTAAGGGAGAGAGAAATTTCTGAAAATTAATCTCATAAATGTTCAAAAGTGATTACAAAGGTAGAAAAAGAAGGCTTATATAGATTATGGAAGCTTGTGGAGCAAGTTAAACTAACCATGGTTCAAGAGAATCATTGTTGGCTTAACTTGACTGTCCACCATGGTTTAGGAGGCTTGTGGAGCAAGCTTCTAACTTAGAAGCTTGGGAAGCAAGCTAAGTTAGAAGCTTGTAGCACAAGCTTCCCAAAGGTGCAAGCTACAAGCAATTCCGACCAAGGTTGGTCTAGGCGGCCAAGGTGCTTGATTCCATGATTTTTCAATTCCAAAAAGTTGGAATTGGTCTAGTTTGGTTCCCCAAATGATGGTAGAACCTAGCTAAATCAATTCCTTGAAAAATATGGAACAAAACAAACCTAATATGTAAAATTTGGTCTAGGCTCAACTCGGACCCAATTACTAGTGGCACCCTCATCCCTTACTAAATGTCACCCCACTTCTATTACTGAAAATAAAAAAATAAATGACCCTTAATACAAGGTCAAATGGCGCAAAAGTCTCCAAGTAACATACCCTAAATTTACAATAGAATACCCTATAAAGAAAGAAATAAAGTACCTTACAAATACAAAGGCAAAAATGAACCTATATAAGAACTACTATGTACAAATGAGTTAGGCCTTCTCTTCAAGATGTGATGGCCCATGTGAAGAGTAGCTTGGGCTTAGAGAGTCCACTAACTTCTAAGTTAGCCATTCCTTCTTGTATGCTCCTAGCCATAGCTTTAGTGATTGGGCCCTTGGCCCATGGTCCATTAGATGAGGTTGGCAAGCTCGGCCATCGTGAATCCCAATTGCATACTAAAGCAAGATTATTTTACCTAATACATTGGTTTAATCCCCTAAATTTACGGGGGTCATTCCCTAATTACGGCCCATATAAAACTAGTATAAATAGACCTTCAACAAGGTACATAATTCAATTCAACTACTGCATTTAATACGTAGATCCCTTATTGACTTGAGCATCGGAGTGTGATGAAGCTCCTATATGGCAAGCTCCTTGACCGAATTGAAAGGAATTCTCAAGCTTGAACCGAGAGGATCTTCAAGGCCGAAACTAGCTTGGAGAATTAATGTTGATTCAAGGATGCTAGCAATTCCGGAAAGAACTCCTAAAGCTCCAAAGAGGAAGGCTCAAGGAGATTAGAAGAAGAGAGTTCTTCTTGAAGAGAGAAGAGTGGCTTTCGGTGGGGGATTCAAACTAGAAGAAATGAATCTCATATATGCCAAAAGTGGAGATTACAGGGATCCTAAGAGATTTATAGGCTTTAGGAAATGTGATTGAGAAGCTACTAGACCAAGAGTTAATATTAAACCATGGTATGGTTAATATTAACCCTTGGCGCCAAAAGGAACTTGTGATGGAAACTTCCCCAAGGAGGATGGGCAGGATATACTTGATGTGCCCCTGTGTTGGTGGGCAAAGAAAATAAATGGATGATAAGGATTTTAGTGTTGCCCCTACCCTGTGAGTATTGTGATGCCTCTCCAGGCGTCTGCTTGTAATAGGTTTTTTTTTCCTAAAATTTCATTTTTGTTTACCTTCGGCTCTTTTATGTTTGAAGCTTGCCTTTTTCTATTTGTCATCAATGGCGGAGGGATCTCATCCCATGATGATGTTATCTGCTCAATCTTTATTGATGAGTATTATTTTGGAAGCCACTCCTGGCTTTGGTTAGGAAGTCATTCCTGGTCTTGGCATTTTTTGGATCATCCTTCATTTAGTTGAGGAGTAAGGCGCGATGGCCTCTTCATGCTTACAGACTTGCTTGTTTGGTCGATTTTATTCTATTCCACTGTTGATATGTCTTTGCTTAGTGGGCACATAGAATCACTTG